ATTATATCAATAACATCTACATTATACTGGAAATGTATTCATTATATAAATACATTAATTCATCTAGAAAAATCTAAAAGTGTTTTACAAAGGCTTTACAAATTATTTGTAAAGCCAATATTTAAATGTCTAAATCATAAAAAGATAAATAATTAGCTTAGATCATGCTGAATCATTTCTGTATTTCTTTCCCTATTTCCTGATCCTGTTTGGCAGTGCATGGTGAATTTCTTTGATGTGTTGGCCTGACCAATCAGAGTCAGTCTGCAGGGCTGACACTGTTCTAGAGCAGCTGATTGGTCGGCGGATATATTGCTGTGCAGGTTAACAGCTGCTGGACGAATCAAAGAGATACTTGCAGTGATTTCCTAATGGACTGGAGCTCAGGAATCAGGAAAATATTTACTAAATACTGATAAGGACTTTTTTATGTTTTAGATTTCTTGATTTAATTTATTGAAATATAATCATATTCTTAAATAACTAATGTATTAATTGCAGTTTTATATCAACATTTGTCCAACAAATTATTTATTTGTTGGATTTTTGCACATTTTCAGCAAATCCTCGTCTTTCTGACCCCACTGTTGTGATCTGGCCCCAAACGTGTGAGAGGCGTGTCAGTGTGTGTTCGGGTCACAGCATCCTGGAGTCCAACACAAATCCTTCCTCCTCACTCTGCCTCGCTCTCAACTAAACAAACGGCTCCAAAAATGAGAGGCAGATTAAGCACCGCGGCCAGCAGCCTGAAAAAGCTGCAGACTCTGAGAGACCAGATCAGAGACCTGGTGATGACATGTTACTGAACACATACACACACACAGCTGCAGGTGTCAAACACACACATGCATTCAGTGCTGACTGAAGGTTAGAAAAACAATCAAGTGAAAGACTGAAAGACACAGCAGAGAGCAGAGAAGCTGCAGGAGGATCTGAAAAACAGAGGAAATAACACTTCACCCCTGCAGAGCTGCTGCTAAATGTTCAGGAAAGGCAAAAACGAACTTCAAGCTGAAAAATGGAAACTCCAGCAGCCTGATCACACTCATTTCTGTGTGTTTAAAAAGCAGGATCTGACTTTTCTTTTCCTCCCACTGAAAGCGGCTCACCTGAACCAGAGTCATCTGCGAGCCGAGCGCCAGGAGGATTTTCTCCGTCTTGGTCGGGTAGGGGTTGTCTCTGTGCTTGTAGAGCCACTGCTTGAGCGGCCGTGCCATGTCCTGCAGGGCCTGGCGCTTGTGCCGCACTTTGCTGCCACTGGGACGACCCCTGTTCACCAGCAGGGACAGGATTTAAATTCAGGCAAATAACTGGAAACATCTTAGGATTTCAGTGCACAGACGTCATCAATTCATTCCAAATGTAAAATGGCTTCAGATTAATGAGTGAAACATCCAGAACCCACAGGAGGAAGAAATTAATCCTTCTTTGGAGCAGGTTTTCTGAGCCGTGTCTA